TGCTGTGTGGGGGGGGGGGGGGGGGGGGGGGGGGGGGGGGGGGGCGATAGGGGCCTTCAACTGCAGGAATGGCTTGCCGTGGCCTTTCATAAATAAAAAGAAAAGAAAAACGTTTTACATTTCTATTATCCCAGATATACTGTAGCAAAGGTTGTACTTTAAACTCGACATGTTTCAGGAAAATAAAGGGCAGGGTACGAGGTGTTTGTACAGTAAGTAGACAATGATCAGAGTGTCACATTAAATGTTGCCACATCAAAACATGAGTTTTATTAAATGTCTCAAAATGTCCTATTATTACTTAAGCAATTACTTCCTTAATTCCCCTTTGGCATCAATAAAGTATCTATCCATCCATCCATCCATCCATCCATCTATCCATCCATCCATCCATCCATCCATCTATCTATCTAAAACAACTGAATAATTGAAGAAAATATTTCATCTTAATTGGATTCGGTTTAATGTAAATGAATGACTTTGATGAAAAATAAATGTCCTCGCAAAACAAACAAACACTGTTTGAACGTTAGTTACACTGACAGTACACATGGGTTTTTTTTCCTTTTTCTGTGACATGAATAAACAAAGACTGGAGGAATTTGGTTGATAATATTTGAGTTTCTTAATTCCAATCCAAAATAAAAAGTTTTGTGGTGGCTCTGAGACACAGAATCCAACCTTCTGCTGTGTTGACATCTTTCTCTATTTTTATACTCTGTGTCACCTACATTGTCTGCCTCGGGCCTTTGGAGCTGAATAGGGATTCCATTTCCCATCCAACTTATTCTGTCATTTCATCCACCCATTTATCCATCCATAGCCAGCATTTGCTGTAGGAGGCGATGCCATAATCACTTGACTAGAAAAACAAAACAACATGAAGCCCTTTCCTTAAGCTTTGTCTTAAAAAAATATTTGCACAAAACCAGAACAGGAACTCTGAATTTAGTTTTGTTAATTTGATTTTATTTTTTTTCTGTTGCAAAGTTTTTTGTGTGTGTGTTTCGGTGTGTTTGCACTCGCTTGGGACATACAAATGGTAAAAAGCTGGCTCTTTGTCCCTCCATCCAACTGTTTGTCTCTCCATGTACATGTCTTTGTGTTATAAGAAATAATTTGTCACTAGAAGGTTTCATTTCTTCTGTTCCACTCTGACATAAACCATGTTATTAAAGAATGCTTTTACAGTCCAATTACATACGACTCTGTCAACACTAATCGGGGGAAAAGCACAGCCAATTCAGAACTGCCAGGATTTTAAAAATAACCTGTCATTGTGACTGAGTTTACACACACACTCACACATAACAGCTCAGCTATTATACTGAGTAAATAACCCGAATATTTACAAGTACTGTTTCTTACTTTACAGCAGCTAGTCAATGTAATGCAACGTCTTTGTGGGATAATAGGTAGTCGGTGAAAAAGAACAGCTGGACATAATCATATATATATATGTGTGTATATTGTTATTATTGTCTGTAATGAGGGGCATTCGGGTTCTATTGGAAATTTGAGAATTATAAATATCGCAATTTACGCATTTGAAATGGTTCACTTGCATTATTATAATATATCATCATTACAGTAGTGGTTAATTTGCTCTCAAAATAGTATCAAAATAATATTATCGTTTATTGGCATCACCTAGACTTACTGGATTCGACCAAATATGTTGCATGGTCAACCGACCTAAAAAGCCAACTGACTGAAGCCTTAGGGGAGCAGGGTGAGGAACAAAGCCGCAGAGCTGCGCTGCCCTCTATTGGATATGTCAGTGGTTCTTAGACTTTTTATCCTCTGTACCACCTGAGAAAACCCTGATCTCTCTGAGTACCACCATGATGACCAACATTAGAATACAGCAGCAGAGGCCTTCACTGTCAGCTTCCACCGCAGGAGAGATGTTTGGAAATGTTTAAAAAGATGTTTATGCTTAAATGTTGTATTAATTGTGCATGGTATGTTTCAGACTTATTCAATGGAAAATGTAAATGTAAAAATATGAATTTTCCCCACGTACAACTAGAGAGCGCCCGTGTACCACTGGTACGCAAACCGCAGTTTGAGAACCACTGGGATCTGCAAATAAAGTTATTGTAATCCTGTGTTTTGGATCTGTTGGGTGCAGTCACACACACACAGATGGTTGTGTGGCTCCAGAAGATGATGTGAGGGCCTGTATTCTTCATCTCCTGCTGCTCCGGAGCTTCAGAATAACCTCAGGTATGAGGCGCTCTTCAGGGCCGGCTGTGAAGTGTCTCAGTGATGTGACAGTCAGTCGTATTTCAGTGCAAGTCTATTATTGAAAGTGCTCCCCCTGGTGAAAGGGCACGTGCCTTTGATAGCAGATGGCCTCTTAATACCTTCAGCATGAAGGGTGTTTTACACCTACACACTGTACTGTGGGGTAGTGTGTGCTCTGCTCTAATCAAAAGTACCATCTCATTTAATTGTCTTTTGAAGGTAGGAAAGACAAGGCACTGACATCACTTTACTGTGATGAAATGAACAGATTGGTGATGTTTCCCAGCTGCAAGTAGTCACAGCTCTCTAGGCATGATGTAAGAATAGAATAGAATAGAAATGCCTTACTTATGCCTTACTACTGGTTTTGATGTATCTGATAAAATCTTATATAATTTCAACATTAATAATTCCAACACAAAATCGCTGTGACACAGCTATTCACTGCCGAAATATTATTATTATTATTATTATTATTTTTAATATTATTATTAATATTATTCGTATCACTCAATTGTAGTGATTGTGATCTGTAGATTTTCCGTAGTTTCTGAATGATCAGAATAGAATAGAAAAAAAAAATTAAATAACT